ATGTCAATGCCAATTGCCAGTATTCGACAAGATATTGCTGTAAGTAGAGAAAAAAAATAATAATTTTTAATTTGAAAAGGACTTACATATGTACGCTCGCATTGATCCAAAAAGAAAAGCATGGGAATTGAAAGCATTAATAAAAGAATTTCATTCCAGCCAGTACTAAAATTTTTAATTTTTGAGAAATCCAAGATCGCACTACAAAATTTGGGGAAAAAAAAATGTTTTTCGATATAAAGGAGATGAGTGCAGCCTGAAATAAAATTTTCAAGACGAACTAAAATTTACAAAAAATATAAATTTTAGCGAAAAAAAGTTTGTTCAAAATAACTGACATGTTCAAACTTTAGCATGCAGTGCTGAAATATTCGTGGATTACTAAAATTCACTCAGAAAGTACTTAAAGTTTCAAGAAACGCTAAAATGTACTGAAAAAATTTAGAAATCAAAAAAAATTTATTCAGATATTCAGGATATATACTTTAATTGAAAATTTAATACAATTTACGAAAAGTACTAAAAAGTATTAAATATTTTTCACCGACATTTTCTTCAAAGTTGAAGAATAAAAAGTACATGTAGAGCTAAAATTTTGTTTGTTCAAAGTAAAATTTTCGAAGGGTGCTAAAATGTACTAAAATTAAAGAAATATATTTCAGCAAGCGTTCTTTCAGTTTCATTAACATTTCTAGGAGGTATTGAACAGAAAAATTTTGAACTAAATTTTTTTTTAATGTGACATATGTATCGAAATATTTGAAGAGTACTAAAAGTACTCAGACGGTATTAAAATTTTCTTTAAACGCTTTAATGCACTAAAAAATATTCAGAAAAAACTCAAATCGGAAATCCAGAAATGAAAACCAAAAAAAAACCGTCCTGAAGAATGTTGAACGAAAAAGAATTTTTACGTTACGTTCTTTATTTGTACCCAGTGCGTGTATTCAAATAGTACTAAAAACTATTCAGGCAGTACTAAAATTTTTTAGAAACGCTAAAAATAAAAAAATAAAATTTTAGAAATAAAAAACACAAAATATTAAGAGGCAAAAACTAACTTTAAGTACGAAAAGAATTCGTATAGTACTAAAAACTACTCAGGCACTCAGAAAATATTAAGGGGCAAAAACTAATTTTAACTTACGTTTGTCATAAAATTATTTAGTCATCCTCAGGCAGTGAAAACACACATATTCTAAGAATACTAAAATTTTCATTAAATTCTTAAATATATGTAGATTATGTTAGAAATTGAGGACATGAGGGCATTCGCTCAGTATGAAATTAAAAGAAAATTTCCAAAGTAGGTATTAGAATGTGCTAAAAAATTTAAACGCAAAACGTTGTTTTGGAAGTTATGTACATACTTAACTATTTAGGTCTAAGAATTGTTCAAAAGTCCTTAAGCAATACGCAATCCACCTGTTCAATTGTACCCATTGGCAATACTAAAATTTCAAAGGTGTACTAAAATGTCCTAATGAAATTTTTAATGAAAGGTATATGTAATTCAGAAATTAGGAGTACTCAATATTCAATAAAATTTTCGAGAAGTGCTGAAATAAACAAAAAAAAAATTTAGGAATTTTTTTTAAGTTACGTTCGCTAAGAAAACGTTACAACGTCTTCAGACTACACCAATATTCCACTAAAGAGTTATTAAAATTTACAAAAAATTGGATTATAGTTCTAAAAGACATACAAATTTTATACCAGCTCCTAAAAGTAATAAAAAGTGTATTTGTAATAAAGATTATATTTATCCTGTAACTCTGCCCGTAGCCATCGTTATCGCTTAGACCTCTCCATCAAAGGTAAAGTAGGACGTGGTCCTTAACTTTTAGTACGTTTATATAATATTTCATTTACTTGAATCAGCACATAGAGAAACCTGCCAAAGGACTCCCTCTCCCGTCTAGCAATATAACCCGCTTAATTAACCCATATAGGTACATACACCCATCAGCTGCATTAAAATATCTGAGATACGTGGCTGGAAACTCGAGGACAGCACTGTCCTTTCCGCCCAGCTGGGTATTCGTAACCTATTTGGAACCATTCCAGCATCCAGTACGGTACAGCGTAATATTTGCAAGACTGTAGTAGGTTGTGGAAGTTTAGTGGAGGTTAGTTAGGAGTGGGTATACCCCAGAGATTGGATGATCGACAAGGTGGCGTTAATCTCAAAGGTCGCGAAGAGCTCTCGCGTTTTACCTAAACATGTACCAAAGGCCAATCAGTCTATTTTCGTTGCTGCTGAGACTGATGGGGCTTGGCAGAAGAAGGGGAATTCCAAGAGTTCGTCTACCTAAAGCTCAACTTGCTTGTAGTAAAGGAAGTTCTCTTAAGGCCATTCTACTACAACAATTCTTTGTTCAAAATATTTTTTTCTATTAATGCAAAGTCCTGTATAGTCCTCCTAACGCAACTGACGCAAACGCATCAGAATATTACATTTGTAAATATGCATATAGCCCTGAATTGCAACTCATTCATCATTCATGCAGCGAGAAATGAAAGCCAATCGACACGACGACGGCTGTTTTCCACCAAACGATCTACAATGCCAAAACGGTGCTACAGTTATACTGAAATGTTGACCACCAACTACACACCAAGCATGAACCACACAGCCAAAGCACCGGCAGTCAGCCATACTGCCTTTAAGCCGCCCAACACTTGCTGCAACTTTCAAGAAAAGTCTACGAAAATTACTAACCTGACGGCAGTGTCACTTACATATCTTGCGAGTTCAAAAGTAGCCAGAAACGCGAATACAATTACAAACTGGTAATCGCATACACATACATACATACATACATACATATGGTATGTATAAATCAGTGTATGCATTTATTTGTTGCAGCGTGATTGTGAATGAGCTGGAGCTGGAGCTGTGAGCTGCAGCCTGCAAGTCGTTGGACGACAAGTTTGCAAGCAGTTTCACTTCGCAGCAGCCAAAGAAGTGTACGCAGCGAAAGCAGCAGCGGCAATCTGCAGTCTACAGTCTGCAGGCTGCAGTCGGCTGGGCAAACAGTTGAAAGCTCACCACCGTAATGGCAAACAAAAACAACAGCAACAACACAAATTATAGTTGGTGCGCATGAAACCTAACCTCCAATGCAACTTTTCCCTCTCTTTGCTGCACTGTTTTTTTTTTTTTTTTTTGTAAAATGTTTCTATTTGTTTTCGGTTTTGATTTTTGTTTTGGAAAATTTCTCTGTCCACTCGGCGGCGTACGAGTAAGATCAGCACGAAGTTGAATGACTGCTTTGTTGGACTTGGGCGCAGGTGGCAGTTGGCAGTCGGTGGGGTGGATTGGTTTAATCGTTGCCTTGACTGACTGCCTGTTTGTGCAGAAAAGTCTGGTGGCATCCAAATTTGTAGCGATATTTTTGGCGATATTTTTTTTTGGGTGGTTTTATTTTTGGTTTATGCTTTTTGGTTGCTTATTTTTGCATTGGGTGCACTGTTTGTTGCTGATTTGGTGCGCCTCGTTTTGGCTTTGTGCTCATAGCGTTTCTTTTTTTTTAATGTACGGACATTTTCTCAGATTTATATTAGGATTGATTTTTTTTATATACTTTTATTTTTATTTCTTGAGAGGTAATTGTCAATGTCATAGATACATTGCATGATAATTTATTGCATTAAAAAAAATTTTCAAAAAATTATAAATTTTTCACTAATTAAGCATTAACCGAAGTAGGAATTTCTTCTGATTTTTGTAGATTATTTTTTATTGTAATTCTTATTTTTGCAACATTATTTGCAAATCCGTTTGGCAATGTTTCTGGAATCAATTTATAAATTTTTCCAGATGCAGTGCAGGTTCTACACTCAGCTTAACAAATTTTCATGTCTGCTGTAGCCCGAGCTTCGAGCTGTAGACACACTCGGTTGACGAAAGAAGCTACCTTTCTGCTTAGTGATAGGATTAATAAGGTGGCTGCCTGCTCGAACCCGCAGAGTTCGTAACGGATACCATCTCTCTATAAACCTGACTGCAACTCGAATCGACTCAAATGCTGCTAAGTGGATCTAAATTATAACAAAGCAGCGTCGAATATTCTATGCTGAAGATTGAATGAAGAGTGATTGGATGCCGCAGCCTTCATCTAGGAACTGATAGTGAGCTTTTTTATGCCGCCAGTTGGAAAATTCGAAAGAACAAGGCCTTCTAGGGCTCCTTCGTGGTGGATACTTTTCTTCCTTTTTGTATAGAATCACCAGAGTAAAGGTCGTCTTGATGCTGCTTCCTTGTGTAGCGAAAAATTTTGATGAAATATTAATGTCGGGTATTTTACTTTCGTTACTTTGCAGACATTTCTTCTTCTTGCCTGCGCTCGGATGGCGGTGCTATTAGAAGATCATTTATTTATCAACAACAAACAGGATGCTTACA